ACGTCTTTGTTCGTTCTTGGTATGCAACTATTAAAAGCTAGGTCCAGGTTGCTATCCCAAGCGACAGTGTCAGAACTTTATGTCAAACGTCATGTCAGGCACAGTCTGCAATGCCGGAGAGGCATCCATACTAACATTCACCTAACTTACACCTAAAACATATTGGTTAGTCGACAATTACCTGATGGTGATTTCTCTTCACTGCGTGCGCGCTTTGAACTTGTGGGTTTGGTAAGCTACGAGGGTACTACAAGAGTAGTATTCACTTCGACGAGACCGGAAACATAACAAAGTATCAATGTTTCATCTGCACAAAAACATATTATTGTGCCTGATGACTTGACGCTGAGTAGGGTATTGACGTACACAGTAAAAAATAACGGCTCCTAAAACTGCCCTGGTGGTAAAACGTAGTCATAGTTTTCTCTGAACTTATGTAGTCATTTATAATAACATATTGCTTTCTATAAAAAAGTAAATTCTCATAAGGTTTTGAGCGTTCCTCTAATCTCTGCATCATATAAGTTTCCAATAGTTGCGAGTGATCCTCCATATCGAACGCGTGTTGCTAGGTTTAAGAAGTTGCGGTTCATATTTATCTGATTGCTATTTAGGATTGACTCACTTGGTCTGACCTACACCGAAGAGCAAGTTTTCTGTATTCTGAGTTCTTTTTTTAAATGCGAATATCCTGCCAGCACGTGCCCTTCCCCTTCTTTAAACCTAGAGGAGATAGTATTGCCACTTGCAGTAAATGAACAACTCATGTGCTTGTACTGTCCAGTAGAGACCAAGCGCGCATCCCTGCGTGCGACAATTTCTATTATAGCAGCCGCTACCTCAGGGTTCAAATTCCATCTAACGCATTATATTCGAAAGCTCTGTTCTGAACTGCCGTTTCAAAATGTGTGTAGTTTATATCCCTAATATACTGATTCATTATATAAAAGCTTTTTAAAAATATAAAAGGTAAAAAATTAAATTCTCATAACGTTATTTTTGAAAAATATTTGTTTTCTTATACTTACTGCTAGAATTTATGCAATTGATATATTTAGAAAGAATGAATTTACAAGTCAATCTCATGTCCATCTCCACATTTTGTTCAGGTTGAACATTCCTACATTTCTTGCTGTATGTCCGAATTTCAGACATTTTCTGCATTGTGTGATTTCATTATCGTCGTAGACAGACAAGCTCTGTCACCCCAGAAGTACTTCCGCATCCTTCTTTTCAAGAGTGTCTCTGTAGACTCGTCAGATACTTCCGCAAAAATGTGTAACTATTGCGGTAGAATTTTCACTCAACCTTTACATCAAGATTCGATAAGTTAATATTCTTAAAAAGGTATTTTCTTGTGTCATTACAGTTTTGTTTTGATTCAGGTGTAACGGTATAATGATTTTAATTTCCGTGTTGTGATCAGGAATATTTTGCTTCAGGATTTGTGGGGTACCTTTTATTTTCATAAGATCTTTTTCCTACTAAGTTCAAGTTGCTTGGAATAAGGTGCCACAACCAGACATCGATCATGAAAGAGCTATATTGCTACATTGATCTCACGAACCAGATGGTATTTGCTATTCCAAACAAATATAACGCTGGTCTCGCATAGATAAAATCTAATCTCCATCTGTTATTAATGAAAAATGGTATTTCGGCGATTTCCTAAACTGTCATGTGCATTCTTCCAATGCTGTTCCAAGGTTATCACAAACCCGATAGAATTTGCTATCACAAGCAAAATTCGTCCTTGGTATGGAGTTGGTTATCATTGAAAAGCTTTGTCGTATCGTTCACCATCTGTTGAATCTAGTGAGCCCAATGACCATTTACTAATTGATCCACCTACATTGATCAAACCTCTCTTACGAGTATGTCTATTGTTGTTTCTAAATAAAAGATCCTGAAATTTATCTTTTACTTCCTGTATCATCGGGTATAATTGATCATATTGGTTAATCAAGACTGTTTGATAAATGTAGTTATTTTCCTGTAAGGAGGATGTTAAAATTGAAGTATATATTTTCTAATTCATTTACGTGAATGTTATGCAGAAATATATGTTTTCTACTAACTATTTTTGCAGTTTCGAGCTTGAAAGGTAATATGCCAGAGTTAACCGACAATTTGGTAACTTTAATTTCCAGCGTTAGAATCGTGGGAAGAAGAGCCAGAAGGATTTTCCAAGTTTTCATTGTCTAGGTGGTACAAATGAGGTTTTCTTAGCTCCTTTATGTGTACGATTTCCATTTTTCCTTCTTATTTCGCATTTCGACTTTGTGATGGTCAAGTAGTGTTGTGATTATATAAAGTCCAATAAACTTATCATGTTTCTGATTCCTATCTTTAGGATTTTTATTTCTCTGACTGCATTCCTTGCTTAATGACATTATACATTTGACAAATTTTTAAATAGAACTGTTGCAACCTGTTAAACCATAATTTATGAAATTGTAATCATTTGGATGATTTTCTTTCAATACACGCAATTTTTCTATAAGGGTTGAACGAAAACGTTTTACAGGACTATCGGATTCGTGGTGTTGCAGAGTAGTTATGTGAACTTTTCCTTTATGAATTTTTAACAGTTCTTTGACTGTCTCATTGTTAAACTTTTTTTCACTCCCTGCAATGTTGTAGTGTGCCAAAACAAGTGAAATATTTTGTTAAAGCTTCACATACAGGTACACTAATAGCAAGTATTTGAAAAACTTGCGCAAGTTTTAAAAATGTATCAACTAAAGCTATATAACTTTTGCCATCATAAAAGAAGGTATCCATATGAACTATTTCAAATAGTTTTGAGGATATACTTGTTAACACTAACGGTACATAAGATTAGGGCCATTTTTCTTACCCTTGTGATGTATTTTCATTATCATTAATGGTTCTTATGAATTGCTGACTGTATTTACATGTTTGGTACATCTAATGAGTTTCAATATTTCTGTACTGAAAAATACCGTATAAACATCAGTAAAATATTTAATTAATCGTTCATCATTAATGGTTCTTATGAATTGCTGACTGTATTTACAAGTTTGGTACATCTAATGAGTTTCAATATTTCTGTACTGAAAAATTCCGTATAAACATCAGTAAAATATTTAATTAATCGTTCATCATCAAAATACATATAATATCTTTTAAATAGTCGTTCATGAAATTAAATATTAATTGAGCATTATCTTCTAAAGGAATATTGCCTTCAATTATTTTATGGCTCATATTGTGCTCATGCTTTACAATTACTTTATTTTATCAACCTCTAAATACATGTATTCCATTGATTGATGATAACATCGTGAATTGGAATACTACTGTTTTCAGCTTCTTTTGCGTTTTTTCGTCATCTGATTGATGAGGAGGTACAATTTCAACATCAGATATAACATCAATTCTTGGATTTTCCTGAGAAAATTTAACAATGTTTTCCAAATATTGTAAAATAGCTTCATAAACGTCACCAGTATTACCTACCATGAATTCTGGTTCTGGTTCCAGCACTGCTATGAGGAGTGGAAGAACCGTCTCCAGCGATGTGTGGCTTCAGAAGGAAATTATTTTTCGGGTGACAATATGAAATTGCAATTATATGTATTTGAATGAAGATATTAAAAAAAAGTCTCATCACTTAATTTATAGCCCCGTAGACTGTTAGCCCTTCAAAGTGGGAGAAGTTGAGCAGGAAACAGATGCAGAGGTTGACTAGGAAGAAAATTGGGAAATTTTAAAATCAATAGTTCTGTTGGCGTTACACTTATACCACTACAAAACTGTAACATCTTTGTCAATATACACTCACTGGAATTTCATGATCGTGAAGCATACTTTCTGGGGAAATCACGTTAAAAATATCCGTCAAGTTCACTACTGCATAGGTGGTGAATAATTGCCTAGATATTATTCATAACTGAAGATAAAAATTACGACCACTACTGTTCGGATTCGCTGGCATACTTTGACATTGACATTGAGCAAACCGGAATGTCTTTGGGTTATATGGATCAATTCTATTAACTTCTTTTCTGACTTCTCATGCAATTGTGTTGTACACAAACTTTAAGTTCCTCATGGACAAAAACCACTAGCAGTTTTTTGACACGCCTTGTATAAGTGTATAAATCGCATAAATCAATCCTTCAATACTGAGCGGTCGTCGGTGTAGACATAATATATGGCGCATCAGAGTAGAAGAGTTCCATAGAGTTCACAGATCTTTAAATCTCATAAACGGTGCCTCGGTTCCTGGCGAACCAATGTTTTTGGTGGTTTTTCACGATTTTGAATTTGAAAAATCTGTGGCTGCCACAAAAGGCTTCAGATTGAACAGCTTCAAAACAAACATACATTTTTCAAGCTGGAATGTTCTGCATGCAAATTTCAATATTAATTGATACGTGTTACTAGTATAACTAAGTTGGTAGCCAACAAGATATACATACGTACTTCTAGAATCAACACAGTAAGTGGCAAAAGCTCTTTATCTAGTTTATCTAAGCACTCATAGATGCTTTAATATATAGCATGGACGTCGCTATATTTTCCATATGGAAGGTTTATAATATCCATGAACAAATAAACAGATACCAAACATTTAAACAACTTATCATATGAAATTTGAAATACATTAAAACAATACCAAATTTGAAGGATATCTCCGCTTCTGTTTTAAAATGCTTGACTCGAAATTGATTTTTTTATATGTATAATATAAAAGATTCTCATGAAATTGACGTTAATGCAAGATTGGAAGGTAATGCTTTGTTTAGTTTTTAGAATAGTTAGCGAAATAACTAATTAAAAGTTTCTGTTGAAGTTGTGATCCGGAGATAATACTTTATTTAGTTTTTAGAATACTTAGCAAATGAACTAGTTAATAGTTTCGGTTGAATTCGTGATTCGGATCCCCTAGACCCCCCTTTATACACATCTGTGATATTTAGAACATTGTATATAAAAGGACACCAATTGTTCAGTAATAGACGAATCACATACATACATAAATTGCTCAGATAAGAGAGAAAAATTGGAGCAACAGTAAAATGTGCAAAACTCACCAAGATCTGTTTCGTATCCAGGTAACAGAGCCCAGTGTTTCTGTTAAAGATGTTATTAAGAAAATCGTACGAAGTGGATACGTTGAAGATGCGTTTTACGTTTGTGACGTGAGCGATATTGTAAAGAAGTATAATTATTGGAAAAGGGCAATGCCAAGGATTGAAACTTATTACGGTGAGTAGGTTGTATGAGCAACAAAAAAATATCCATTTAGTCTGGCCATAAATATTGTCGGTTCGAGTTGATTCATATGTTTCATGCCAAAGTCTACTAGCTTGGCAAAATCTCTGTTTCATTTTTTTGCGTAAAACCGATGTGCCAACACTAGACTAACATGCATTATTTCGATTACTTACGAAAAATCTTAGATTTGAAAGGTATAGATGATTATTTAAAAACATCTGTGTTAATATATTTAGAATAATCTATACACAGTGCATAGGGAAGACAATTATATAGGGTGATTTCTGTTGCTTTTTTCGGGCCTAGAGACTGTGGGATGGACTTCCATAGTTTTCGGCTGCAACTGCGGTAGCTATCATCAGTGGCGCTGCAATCTAGGTCTAAGCGATCGACTGATCTATGCAGATGCCTGCCTCAGCTGTAGCCGAAAGCTTTGGAAATGTAAGCTCCAGCCCACGGCGTCCGAGTCCGAAAGAAGCAACCGGCAGTGAAAGCCTACGTGTACTAATTATATAGGAGCTTCAAAAATAATTATCATTTGGAGCTCAAAAAGGAGATTGGATGAAAAGTATTTTAGATTGTTTGTGTCTTTTCAAAGTTTCATTTTGCTACTTCATAAATGTATTTTCCCTTCCGCCCAGAATATTGGAAAATGGCAGGAAAAACATTTTTTCTTTGCCACCTTTCTGAATCTTCCGATGGACATAACCAACGAATTTGAATATACTAGAAGGAGCCAAGCCTATTGTCATTTTCACTAGTAAAATAACAGCTGATTATCTAGTAATATTTCAGAATTATCCATATCGACAAATGACACGCAATTCTGATCGATCCGTCAACTACAGGTAGACAGAGCCGTATTCTGTTGTATTACTTTGTACGCTACGAATTCATCCTAAACGTGCTAACAACTATTTTTTTATCTGCCAGCCTTTCAGAAGCTTTCTCACACCATGCCACCCAGCCTATAAATTGTCTCTATAATAGAGTATTTTTTGAGGTACAAGTGATTTTGGGGAATCATTTCCTTGGGGGTGAAAATGAATTTTTTAGTATATTTTTTTATCTGCCAGCCTTTCAGAAGCTTTTCACACCATGCCACCTAGCCTATAAATAGTCTCTATAATAGAGTATTTTTTGAGGTACAACTGATTTTGGGGAATCATTTCCTTGGGGGTGAAAATGAATTTTTTTAGCATATTTTTTATCTGCCAGCCTTTCAGAAGCTTTCTCACATCATGCCACCCAGCCTATAAATTGTCTCTATAATAGAGTATTTATTTGAGGTACAAGTGATTTTGGGGAATCATTTCCTTGGGGGTGAAAATGAATTTTTTAGTATATTTTTTTATCTGCCAGCCTTTCAGAAGCTTTTCACACCATGCCACCTAGCCTATAAATAGTCTCTATAATAGAGTATTTTTTTGAGGTACAACTGATTTTGGGGAATCATTTCCTTCTGGGTGAAAATGAATTTTTTAGCATATTTTTTTATCTGTCAGAAGCTTTCTGACACCATGTCACCTAGCCCATGAATCAACACATTCTAGGCTTCGTTTCTAGGTAGGAAAATGAACAAAATCAGGGTAACGAATTCTCTATCTGAGGTATAAAGTATATCGAAATATGACAGCACAATGTGTCATCTATTACCAAAGCTACCAGCAGCTATCTAATGGAACTGTGAAGTATCTCAGTTCGCGCTGACAGCCGAGTCACCATTGTGGCCGCTTGATACCGACGATATTATAAAAACTATTTTTGGGAGCAATTTTTCCAATACGGCATGTCGACTATATTTACAAAAAAATCGATAGTAACCATGTGGCAGAGGTAGGTAGACATGACTTGGGGACTAAGTCCTGCATTGGTTCTAGACGACGGTGCCACTTGATGTGGTAGCCTAGAAAAGACTTCGGTCACCCGCAAGCTTGCCAAGATTCAAAGATTGGAGGCACTAGGGATAACTGGTACGATGTGGACAATTCCTTCCGTGGCTGTTGACGTTATTGGAAACGTTTTTTTACACCGAAGCTGCCGCGCAGGCGGAAGCCTAAATGCCAGTGCGCCGCGGCTGGTCCGGTCTGTTAATCCGATTTTTGAACTGCCTAAGGTTAGTCGAACTGGGAAAAGCGGATTGTAACAGATAGTTGTGGATGCACGCGTGGCGGCAGTATGGATGAGAGCTCCAAGGAGTAAAGCCCATTGGCGTAGCGGTAGAAGAGAACTAGATCGCCGCCAGAGAAGACTCCTACATCAGTCGGACAGCCCTCTGAACGGCATCGAACATGGATAATGTAGTCGGGGCACCAGCATCCCAAACATGTGAGCTAAGTAACCTTGAAGGCAGTAGAATCTCCAAGGACAAGTTCACTTCTAATTCCGAGTCTAGGCTGGGTATAGGGTCCTGGAAAAAGTGTGTTGAGAGACTAATGACTGCAGGCAGGCTAATAGGTTCATAGGCTCTGACACAGGTAGAAAATCTCTCATCTTTTAGTGGGAGTCATCACCAGCGACTGTAGACTGAGCAGTCACTTGTACCTTCTAAGAGTGAAAATAAATTCTAAAAAGTGATTTTTTAAGAGGTATAGGATTTGATTTAAAAAAAAAACACAAAAAATTTGAAAAAACGATTAAATCTTTATTTGAGTCGATAGAACGGTCGATATAATTTAATGTTTAAAGATTATTTCATGTAAATGTTGGCCGCGGCTCCGCTTTAGATGGCCCATGCGCAAGGTCCAATTTTGGCACACTCTCTCCAACATATCGGCCGGTATCTCACGAATAAATGCTTCAATATTGTCTTCCAGTGCGTCAATCGTTGCTGGTTTATCACCGTAGACATTAGCCTTAACATGGCCGCACAAGAAATGGTCCAACGGCGTTAAATCACACGATCTAGACGGCCAATTGACGGGCCCCAAACGTGAGATAAACTGGGCCATTGTTTCGTGTGCGGTGTGGCATGTGGCACCGTCTTGTTGAAACCACATGTCAGCCAAGTCCAGCTCGCCATTCACAGTTACGTTCCGGCCATTGTGGTCTTTGAAGAAGTACGGCTCGATGATGCCACCGGCACATAATCCACACCAAACAGTGATTTTTTCGGGATGCATTGGTAGCTCTTGCAATACTTCTGGCTGGTCTTCACTCAAGACGCGGCAATTTTGCTTGTTAACGTACCCATTCAACCAGAAATGAGCTTCGTCGCTGAACACAATTTTTCGATAAAAATGTGGATCTTCGTCCAACTTTGCCAGCCCCCAATCACCAAATTGGAAACGTTGTGTGAGGTCGTGTGGCTTCAATTCTTGCACCAGCTGTATCTTATAAGGTTTTACACCCAAATCCTGTCGCAAAATTTTCTACGTAGTGGAGTAACAGAGGCCCAATTGCTGCGAACGGCGGCGAATCGACATTTCACGGTCATCACTAACACTGCCGGATACAGCCGCAATATTTTCTTCAGTCCTCAATCTACGTCTGCGTGTTGGTGGTTTAATGTCCAATAATGTAAACTAGGTTCGAAATTTAGTCACAAGCTTCCGAATAGCTCCCTCAGTAGGCCGACCAAATTGCCCATAAATTGGAAGCAGTGCTCGATGCACTCTCTTAACCGAGCATGCATTTTGATAGTAAAATTCAATAATTTGCAAGCGTTGTTCGTTCGTACGTCGATTCATGGTTAAATTATAGACCAAACTGAACAAGTTTGACAATGACACAAGACGCGATTCACGCGTCATATGTCAAAAATAGTGTTGCCAAAAAGATACTAGCAAAAAAATCACCCATTATATGCCCCATGCGCTTGGAGGACAATAAAACAATGTTCCACATTCTGGGCATTCGCCCCGCATATTGCTGAGATATTCGGAACAATGAACATTAATGATGTAGTTACATACTCAGCGGCACGGGTATTACGTATCTTGAAAAGTGATATTATGTCAACTTTTTGACATTATATTGGCTTTTGTGAAATTCTGTAAGTTTTTCTACAAGATCTTAACATAGCACTAGCTGATGGACATGTTGGGAACTCGTTTTGTAGTAATACTGTTGCCTAAACGTCATTGGGCTTCAGTCATCAATGTTCGGCTTTATGTTATGTAAAATCTGGTACAGATATGGCATTACTGGCGGTCTAAACTGTAAAGTTGCATACTATAGCTAGAAGGAAATGGCAATGCGTAGGAATAGTGAGCAAACGAAGAATGACTGTTTCCACCCTAAAATCTACCTAGTCTGCAAGATGACATTTTATTGGTTTTTTTGACGTTTTATAGGTTTTTTACAAAATACCTGTGCGGAGTGGTCAGACATTCTGACCTTCATTAGGAGTCCACTACATTTTGAAGCATGTGGACAAGAATGTTAGTACACTCAGGGTCAGAAAAACTTCCAAAGATGGCCCAGTTGCCAGGATTCACCTTCCTGCCACTAGGCCAATACAGCTATGTAAATGCAGATTTTCGAAGCTTCGCCAAAATCATTTTTTGATCGTCACTCAAAGTTTTATGTATATACATGTAAAATGTAAAATTTTAAACTGGATCTATTCTATTGCAGCTGTAAAATGCAATCCACATAGGTTGGTGCTTGAAACCTTGGTTGCCATGAAGTCAGGTTTTGACTGTGCTTCGAAAGAAGAGATCAAGAAAATGCTTTCTCTGGGTGTTCCTCCAAACAAAATCATTTACGCACATCCTACGAAGAAGTTGAGTCATTTGAAGTATGCCGCAGAAGTTGGAATTGAGATGATGACATTTGACAATGATATGGAGTTGCACAAGATCAAAGACATGTTTCCAACAGCTAAGTTAGTTCATTCTATTACTTGTTGCTATTCATTTGGCTAATTAGGAACATATCTAGTAACAGGGAATTTTGCGGGTAGAAATATGTTGCTAAGGCTCCAGTTTGTCGAATTTACGCACAGAAATTGTCGATTATTGAGTTAATCACACCAAAAGTCAGATTCTCTTCAGTATACAGGGTTATCCAAATTAAGTGTCCACCATTAGTAACTTTGTTATTAGTGAAAATACAAAGTTGTTTGAATTAGCAAACTAGTAGCATTTTTAACGCTGGTAAAAATGAGAAATAAAAAAAAACAATTGAGAGTCGTTATTTTGATTTTTTTCAGTAAAATAACATTTTTTTAAATGGAAACCCCTGTATATTATATTTTTTTCTGTTAAAGCATCAAATTTTAAACAAAAAAGTTCATAATGACTTTTCCGCTAAAGTCAAAAATAAAGTCAAAATAACGATAAATATTTTTAATTATTTGCAGTATTATAATATTAAGACGGCTATGAAAACAACATGGCGTTCGCGATTTGACAGCATTAAGATAAGCGACAAATTGTTAAACTGGACATACTCGCAACTAGAAGGCTTTGGAAAACAATGATAAAATCAAATAATGTCAAACATTAGTGTAAATACTTGTTTATAAGCTTTATTGTGTCATTAATTTAAAGAAAAATGTTCTCCCATGAAGAAAAGTGTGATATGTTAGAATGCTATTTAGTGTGCAGAAAATCCTCCTTGAGAGCAAGAGAATAAATACTACAGTGAATTATATCCCGCTCGCATTCAACCGTATGAACGATATTTTCTGAGACTTTATCGAAAATTTAGGGGCAACGAAAATGTTTTTGCTAAAACAAGGGCAAAAAAAGAATTCATAATAAGCGAGGCCACGGAAATTGCAGTTATTGGATATTTTGAAGCTTATCGTGAGAATTCAATAGCAGATATTCTCAAGGACTCTAATTTCAGTTATGGTACTGTTCAAAGGATTTTAAAAAAATACAAATTTATTCCGTATAAGTACCGACCAGTTCAAACGCTTTTGGCAGGGAATCCAGAGAGAAGACTTGTTTTTTGCCATTGGTATCTTAGCTTCTGTCGCCAAAATGTAAATAACTTTCGTTACCTTTTATGGACAGATGAATCAAATTTTTCAAATTCTGGAATGTTTAATAGAAAAAACCACCATTATTGGTCAAGAGAAAATCTTTTGTTAGTACATCCAAGAGGCCCACAAGTTCGTTTCATTTTCAACGTTTGGTGCGGTATAATTGGTTCAAAAATTGTTGGCCCGTTCTTTTATGAGGGAACCCTAACTGGTGAAAGATATGTGGAATTTATGTCAGAAATTCTGACTAATTTCTTAGACGAATTGGATCTTATAAGTAGACATCATCTGCATTTTCAGCAAGATGGCGCACCTGCCCACAACTCCAGAGGTACTTATCATTTTCTAAGTACTACTTTTAATGATCAGTGGATAGGAACAAATGGCCCAATACAGTGGCCTCCCAGATCACCAGATCTAAACCCACTTGATTACTTCTTGTGGGGTTACTTAAAGAACCAAATTTACAAGCGAAGGTACGATAACCTTGACGCGTTAAAGACTGCAGTTAGGGAAAAGATAACCCAGATAGATGGTAGGACCATACTTAACACAGTTCGAGCAGTTGAAAAACGTGCCCAAAAATGTATTGAAGAACAAGGTGGTGTTTTCGAGCATCTTCTTTAAAAAAATTGTTATTGTATTTTGTAAGATTATAAGTTGATGTTGAAAATAAAGTTTGTCGATACAATTTAATTGTTTCAGATTGGAGGCCATAACTTCAACAATTTGTAACCTAGGAGAAAAGTTATTGTAAGCTTTTTTGTTTAAAATTTGATGCTTTAACAGAAAAAAATATAATATACAGGGGTTTCCATTTAAAAAAATGTTATTTTACTGAAAAAAATCAAAATAACGACTCTCAATTGTTTTTTTTATTTCTCATTTTTACCAGCGTTAAAAATACTACTAGTTTGCTAATTCAAACAACTTTGTATTTTCACTATTAACAAAGTTACTAATGGTGGACACTTAATTTGGATAACCCTGTATACAGCGCTGATCCTGATCAAAATTCACGAGCAGCTACACTGACGGTGGTTTGCTCCGGTTCGGGTTAAAGTGAGGCTTGGCGCTAATTTCGAGTTAGTATTTGCACCGTCATAGTTATCTCGGAGTTAAGGCCTAACGCTGGGATACATTTACCTTTCACTTGAACTAGGTGTTAAGGCTGATAGCATCATGAAAATGTAGAGTAATACCTGCGAATCGCAATGCGTACTGACAATAAAAAAGAGGTTAAGACTTTAATGTAAAATGACGTCCTTTTAACGCTTACGGCACCAAATTTGTGACTGCTAAAACTCTCTAATATTGGTTCTTGTAACTGTTTGTTGGGCTGTTTAGATTTTATTCCAGAGGAATAAGGTCATCCTCGTCGAATTCTTCATTATTTATGGTTACGTCCATAATTACCAGGGTGCTTTGTGGACAATGATGTCGGCTGTATGATGCGACTTGTCGATCCACAGCAAAAAATATTTTCAAATTCCCAACTTACAAACAGAATCACAAATACATATACGTACATATATACACGGTGGCGCATCGAAAACGAAACAGACGCATTTACTGGCAGCTCAATTTTTTTTTGTAAAAACGCTCAGTCCCGTCGATTTTGTTTTCGAGGGGAGCACAAGTTGGGCAAAAAATCACGTTAACACGTGCAGCCCCCTGGGCGGGGGTGACACCAACCCTAAAATCTTGAATGGAAAGGGGGGTCGAGTGATACCTTATTTTAAAGGTCTTTCAATTCCCTTTATAATGATGTAAAATACATGAGCTTCAGTTCAGTAGTTTTGAAGATTTATTGATTTAAAGATTAAAGTAGACTTTAATAGGTACATCAGATTAGTGTGTACTACTATCAGAAGAAATTTGACTATAAGAAGTTACTTAATAAGTAAATGCTTTTATTCACTAAGCCCATGGTTTGTGTATCATTTTGTTGTTGAAAATAGCTATTGGAGCGTTTTTTTGTGGCAAAAAAGTTATTTCTCTAATAGGAATTTAGTACATAGTTTGCGATTGATTTGACCAAACTTTGTTGCTAAAATAACTTGTAACGCTTTATTGCATAAATTAACCATGGTATATTCCACAGCAGAAAGAGTTGAAATTATCGAAATATTTTTCGGAAATAATCAGTGCGCTAATAGTTCAGCAGAAATATTTAATGAGCGACATGAGAACAGTAACGTGCATCGAAAATATGTTCTAGAACTTGTAGCTAAATTTCGGGAAACTGGGTCAGTCGCCAATAAAAAACGCAACATTGAAAATCCCATAAGGAACGGAGCAATAGAAGTGGGGTTTTAGGGCAAGTTTATGTAGATCCTACGTTAAGTACCCACAAATTGGAGACTGTGTGTGGTGTTAGTTGACGTACTGTCCAACGAATTCTAAAGACCCATAGTTTTCATCCGTATAAAATTCACCTGGTACAAGAACTTAATGAAGACGATTTTGATCGGCGATTACAATTTTGTGAAGATATGAGTGAACGAATTATAAACGATGAACATTTTCTATTCAACACTTGCTTTTCTGACGAATGTTCCTTTTTCTTAAATGGCGTAGTAAATGGTCATATCTGCCGATATTGGTCCGATTCTAATCCCAGAATTTATCATGAGGTTCATACACAGCAGCCACAAAAAATAAATGATTGGGCTGGTATTTTTGGCGATCATTTAGTTGGTCCCTTTTTCTTATCTGGAAATTTGACCGGTGAAATGTATTTGGAATTACTGGAAGACGCCATAGATCCTGCATTAACAGCCATAATTGAAAATCAGAATGATCGGCGGTACATTGCGAATAGGTTGATGTTCCAACAGGATGGTGCCCCACCACATTACGCATTACGTGTTCGACAATATTTAGATCAGACGTTTCCAGATCGATGGATTGGTAGAAGAGGTGCCATTGAATGGCCCCCAAGATCGCCAGATTTATCATCTTTGGATTTATTTATGTGGGGACATTTAAAAAGCAAAATCTATGGTACTCAGCCAACATCATTAGAAGACCTGCGACAAAGAATTGTGAATGAGTGCCTTCAAATTATTCCTCAAATATTGCAAAATGTGCGGCAACGTTTTGAGCCAAATCTCTATTATTGCATGGTAGCCATTTTCAACATTTACGTGTCTAACGGGTCAGTTTCATTTTTAAATTACTTTGCTGCCAAATGTATTGATCTCCACTAATGATGATGTATTAGTTTTATTTAAGCTTTAAATCAATTAATCTTTAAAATTACTGAACTGAAGTACATTAATTTTATATCATTATAAAGGGAATTGAAAGACCTTTAAAATAAGGTATCACTCGATCCCCCCTTTGCATTTAAGATTTTGGGGTTGGTGTCACCCCCGCTTAGGGGGCTGCAGGTGCTAACGTGATCTTTTGCCAGACTTGTGCCCCCCTCGAAAACAAAATCGACGGGTCCGAGCGTTTTTCAAAAAAAAAACTGAGCTGCCAGTAAATGCGACTGTTACGTTTTCGATGCGCCACCCTGTATATATATATATATATATACTTTGTTAGTCTCTAGCTTTCAATGAACTTTGTCATCTTCATACAGCTGTGCGTATTTTATATTAATTTTAACGAATGTACCATGTATCCGCTTTCACCAGGCTACTAAATGTTTCCCTCAACCTAACCGTTAATAACATTTAGCAATAATCTCACATACTAATTTCCCGATGAAGATGGCAAAGTCCATTGAAAACCAGAGACTAATAAACTATAAAGAGTCCTCGTTGCTTGAACTTTGTGGAAGTACCCAACTAAAGGCGGAAGCTTTATTTTTCACCTAACTGGTCTAGACGACAATGACCACGTCTCAAGTTACATATATATATATATATATATATATTTGTGATTCTGTTTGGAAGTTGGGAATTTAAAAATGTTTTATCCAGC